GTCAGTGATTGATTTTTGTTCTGACTCCAGAAGGGCTCCTCCCAACTGTCTTATTCACCAGTTCTCTCCTACAAGCTACAAGACCTACACTTTAGCCTATATTTTGAATCACCTCCCAGTTCCCTTGCACCGCAACCTCTACCATCATTTAGAGCACCCTTCGATTTGAACTTCCTGAAGCTCTGATTCAAATGAAGTCAGTTCCTTTGGGAAGAAATTAGAAGCTTTGTATTTTACTCTACCCCCAGGTAAAATCTCTGAGGCAGGGCTCTAGAAGCTGGAGTTGGGGACAATGGCAGATTTTTCTTTGATACTTCTGCCCTAGGATCTGAGGGCTCTGCAGACTTGGAGAAAAGGGGAGATTCTCTCAGCTGGCCTCTCCTGGCATGGAACCATCACCTCATGAGCCAAGGCAAGGGTGGAGCCACTGCATCCCAGCAGAGCCTCTGTTCTAACAAAGAAAAGATCCTCTATCTCTCAATCACATTATTATAGGTAGCTAAGGGCAAGAAATGCTGATGTCCTGCTCTTACTGGAAGGAAAAGCCTCTGGTGGGAGCCGAGGGAAGAGGAAGCCCTGTGTTCTTGCTGCAGCAGTCGGGCATGGCGTTTCCACCTTCTTAAGCTGGGAGTGAGGCTAGAGGGAGCAGGCTTGGTTCAAAGACCACGGACCTCTACCTTTTTTTTTTTTTTTGAGCACATTTTTATAGATTTGCTTGAGTAGATGTTTCCTCATTGGCTATTTTGCCTTAGGACCATTTTTATAGGCTTTAAATGGTTGCCTTTTCCTGATTTTAGTTTCACTAAAAAGCAGGTTAGTGGAGCCTCATGTGTCATCTTGGAAGTTGATCTTGCCATTTAAGTTAGAGATGAACTTTATCAGAAACAGCTTGTACCTGTAAAGGGGCAAGAAGATGTAAATGACTCATTATTTTCTTTCTCACAGCTGTGCCAAGTCGTTTTGTAATTCAGTCTTCAAGCCTGTATCTAGTGGTGGTTTTTGCCATTTGGTTTGATGCATGAGCAACTTTAGAATTTGTCAGTAACACCAGTAACACATTTCACCAACATGAACGTAAGTAATTGTTTCTTGTCTATATTTTTCTTACATAGGAAGTGTCAAAACTCCGCTCTCAGCTTGCTAAAAAAAAACAAAGCGAGAGAAAACTTCAGGAGGAATTGAATAAAGTGCTAGGTATCAAACACTTTGATCCTTCAAAGGCTTTTCTTCATGAAAGTAAAGAAAATTTTGCTCTCAAAACCCCATTGAAAGAAGGTAAGAAATGAATAAATGTATAAAAGTACCATCTTCCTTTGGATTTGCTTTTATAACATTTAGCCAGTTATCCATTTTTATGAACTGTGAAAATTTGTTGACAGTTTCTGATATAAAAGAAATTCTTTCTGAGCTTTTTGTGTAAAATGACTTTTCTTTCCTCTTTCCATACTCTTATTTTCCATATGTCCAGACCCCACTCGTCTGTCAAGCTCCATTCAAACTCCATCTTCTTGAAGCCTTGTCTGGCATTTATGCTCCTTCCTGCCTTCCACTAGAATTATTCTCTCTAACCTACCTTAGTATTTTAACCTAAATATCTAATTTGTAGTTTTGGAGAAGTAGATAGTCTACTTGACTATGAATCTTTGACAATAAGTCAGAATTGGTTGAAATAGGAAATGAAGAAATATAAATAAAATTATGCTATTAGAATGCAAACATTGCTCCATCTGCCTTACAGGCCATGGGAGATGCTCGTTTTTAGTTTCTAATGACTGATGAATTAGTTTTAATTTAGAATACTAATACCTCTTTATAATAATCATTCCAGGCAACACAAACTGCTGTTGAGCTCCTATGGACTTTCAAGAATCATGCAAGTAAACATCTGAGAAACCTGTTGAAGATTATCTTATTCTTATTATTTTTATTGCTGTTGCTGTTATTATTATTGTTTGTAATGAATATTTGTAATGTATTTAATATTAACTTCCTATCCTTAGGTGTCTGAAAGGAAGTTCAGCTTTTTTATTGATATACCTTCCAACATTTTATTTTCTATTGTCAGTACCTCCTCCTTGATGCTCATTTTTATCACCTCATTCTAAACTTTCTACCTGGCTTTCTGTCTTTCCAGTTCATCCCATCAACATCCAACATCCTTTTAAAAATCACTCTCATATTATTATTGCCCTAGTCTAAAACTTTAGATGATTTCAAGATTCTAATCCCCAGGTTTTGTAGGTTGATACTGAAGGGCTTTCCTAATTTGAACCTGTTAAGCTGGGATAAAATACCTTGACTTGTTCTTGCCTCAACTTTGATTCTCCTAATAATGTTCATTCTGTCCTATCCATCATTCATTTACCCAGTTCAAATAAGAAATCAGGGAATGCTTAATTCCATAGTAAGCTCTTTACTTCTTGTCAGAGTCACTGAATTGGTCAATAATTTGCAGGTTCCCAGATTCCATCTTAGTCCTACCAAATGAAAATCTGAGACTTGGCATGAGAAATCTGCTGTTCAAACAAATTCTGCAGTTAATTCTTAGATATGCTGAAATCTGAGAAACTCTGCTCTTAACCTCTTTAGAGAATTTGTCTTATACTGCTTAGCATTGGCCTGACTACTGGGTATTTGATTAGTATTTCTGTAATATGATATAAAAATCACACATTAAGTCATTAACCCAGTTATTCAACTTGTACTATATGAAGTTAATGCTTCTATTTAAGGTGTATTGTTTTCTCTGCCCTCCCCTCTCCACCTTGTCCCTAGAATTACAAATGGTAATGTACTATTTAGAGAGTAGTAAATGTCCATCTAAAATGTCTGATTTATATAATTTGTATATTATAAGCCACCTTTTTAATATTTCCCCATTAATGGGCCAAAAGAGACTATTACATTCAGAATAGTTTTTCATAATAAATTATTTTATCAGATCTTAATGTATCATTGAATTTTTAAATATCGTTCTTTGAATTAAGTTTAGAGGAAATGTAGAAATTAGGAAACTCATCTACTAAAAGGAAATAATTAGTCTACGGCCCTGCCACCCTGAACATGCCCAATCTCGACTGATCTCAGAAGCTAAGCAGGGTCGGGCCTGGTTAGTACTTGGATGGGAGACCACCTAGGAATACCAGGTACTGTAGGTATTAAAAAAAGAAAAGAAAAGAAAGAATTCATAACTTCTGCTTTTAGCCAAGATGGAGTAACAAGGATCGATTTATTTCTCCTGCCCCACCCTACCCGACACACACACACACACACACACACACACACACACACACACCCCTAAAACTCAAAAAACTAGACAAAATATACAAAAGAATGATTTTTCAAGACCATAGACATGAAACAACAAAAAACAATGTCTGAGAGGTGGGGAAAATCAAAGTGCTTCCTATTTACAGCCTTGAGAGAATTTCCAGATGTAAGGAAGGAGAACACAGGTAGAGTCCAGCCAACTATCTGAGTTGAAAAGACAGAGCCGAGATCCGAGGAGATCCAAGTGACTAGAGTTTTCAGGACAGAGCACTAGAAAGGAGAAAATTGTTCGCAGAGAGAACTCTGGAGATCTACAAAGGGTCTCTCAAGTATTCACTAGTCATGCATATGAGGAAACTGCCTGAAGCCTGGGAAAGAACCACACCCCCCAAAAAGATGTAACAGTGCTCAAAGACCACAGAAGGCTAGAAATACTGTTTCCACCAGCCAAGCTGGAAAACCTCACGATTTATAGGGTATTGAGTAGGATATACAGAAGGGTTTAGCCTCAGTATTAGGGAATACGGGCATACTTCATGTTACTGTACTCCACTTTATTGTGCTTTGCAGATATTGTGTTTTTTACATATTGAAGGTTTCTGGCACCCCCGTGCTAAGCAAGTCTGTTGGTACCAAAAAGATTACGACTTGTTGAAAGCTCAGATGATGGTTTTTAGCATTTTGGAGCAATAACATATGTTTTAATTAAAGTACGTACGTTTTTCTTTTAGACATAGTGCTATTGTACCCTACTAGACTAGAATACAGTGTAAACATAACTTTTCTGTGCACTGGGAAACCAAAACATTTGTGTGACTTGCTTTATGACAATATTTGCTTTATTGTGGTGATCTGAAACCGAACCCGCAACATCACTGAGGTGTTAGTCCTAAAGTGAGCACTGCTCTGGTACCACCTAAAAAGTATTAAAAGGAAAAACCAAAATGATCAAACTCTTTCTAAGTAACTTAATTACATCTCAGGACAAAGCTCAAGAATATGTATAAGACTGAAAAGTAAATTTCAGTTTCTAACATCGAATTGAAAGATTACCAGACATTCAGAGAGGCAGAAAACATCACCCATAATGAAGAAAATAATCAGTCAACCTGGAACTAACACAGAAGTTAGAATTAGCAGAAGACATCAAAATAGTCTTTCGTATATCTCATATATGCCAAAACTTTAGAAAAGACATGTATTTTTTAAAGACTAAAATCAAACTTACAAAGGTAAAAACGATAACATGAGATAAAAAAAAAAAAGTATTTCTATTTGCCTCATCTGGGAGTAACAGCAGATTAGACATTGCAAAAGGAAAGATGAGTGAACCTGAAAACATATCAGTAGGAACTATCCAAAATGAATAGAAACAAGAATCAAAAAATGAACAGAGCGGGGGAGGGGCATAGGGGTTTGGGTAAAAAGATAAAGGGGAATATAGTCCATAATATTGTAATAAGTTTTCAGAATTGACAGATGAATACTAGACTTAGTGGATGATTACATTGTAAGGTATAAAAATGTGAAATTACCATATTGTACACTTGAAACTGATACCACTAATATGTTACATACCAACTAGACTTCAATTAAAAAACAAACAAACAAACAAAAATCTTGAGCACCAAGGTACTCTGGGACAACTGCAAGCAGGCTGATATTTATGTAATTGGAGTTCCCAGAAGAGGGAAGGAGGGGACGTAAAAATTATCTGAATAAATATTGGTGGTAAAATTTCCAAATATGAAAACCATAAACCCATAGAGCCAAGGAACATAATAAACCCTAAGAACAAGAAATATGAAACATCACAATCAAATTGCTGGAAAGCAATAATAAAGAAAAACTGTCAACCTAGAACTATCTCAACAAAAATAGTTTTCAGAAACAAAGATGATAGAATGATTTAGAGACATTATAAAAAAACAAAAACCTAAAAAAGATTATCTCCAGCACACCTGCACCACAAGAAATCTTAAAGCAAATACTTCAAGCAGGAGAAAACCGATACCAAGTAGAAATTAGAATCTACACTGAGGAATGAAGAACACCAGAAATGCTAGCTGCATGGATAAATATATGACTTCTTTATTACTTTAGTCTCCTTAAAAGGTAATTGAATGTTTAAACAAAAATAACAACATAGTTTGGAGTTTACACGTATTTAAAATTAGAGCATGACAGCAATAGCTCAAAGCCCAGGAGGGAGAAATGGAAATGTGTGATTGTAAGGTTCTTGCACTAGGTGTAAAGTGGTATAATGTTGCTTGAAGATGGATTGCAATAACTTAATGTGTACTATAAACCGTAAAGCAATCACATAAAATACTTGTAGCCATAAGCCAACACAGAAAATAAAATAGAATTATAAAGAATATTCAATTCATTCAAAAGAAGGCAGAAAAAGAGGGAGAGGAAAACAAAGGACAGATGGGGCAAATGGAAATCAAATAGCAATATGTTCAATTTAAACTTAACCATATCAACAGTCAACATTAAATGTAAATGGTCTATATACCCCAATTAAAATATAGAAATAATCAAATTAAATATGAAAGCAAGATTGACTATATGCTGCCTACAAAAATTCACTTCAAATATAAAGACAAAATTCAGGGAAAAGTAAAAGGATGTTAAAAGATACACCAAGCTGAGGTGACATCGACAAAATGGCTGATTAGGAAGCCCTGACCCTCCTTCTCCCCACAGACACTGATTCAGTGACAATAAAGAAACTAATTGCCTTTGGGAGAAATACAGAAACCAGCTGAGAGGGTCAGTAATACACAATGGGGAATAGAGAATCTCTTCAACAAATAGTGTTGAAAAAACTGGATATCCAGGTACAATAGGATGAAATTGGAACCTTATCTTAATCCATACACAAAAAAACAACTCAAAAAGGATTAAAGACTTAAATGTAAAACCTTAATCTGTAAAAGTATTAGAAGAAAATATAGGGGGAAAGCATGATATTGGTCTTGGCAATGATTTCTTGGTTGTGACATCAAAAGCACAGTCAATAAAAGCAAAAATGGACAAGTGGGACTATAGCCCACTAAAAAGTTTCTGCAAAACAACGGAAACAGTGAAAAAACAACCTACAAAATTTGAGAAAATATTTGCAAGCTAAATATCAGAAAAGTAGTTAATTTCCAAAATATATACGGAACTCATAAAAAAAAAAACCTTATAATCTGATTAAAAATGGACAAGTATTTAAATAGACATTTCTCCAAAGACTACGTATGAATGGCCAACAGGTATATGAAAAATTGCTTAACATCCCTAATCATCAGAGAAATGTACATGAAAACCACAATGAGATATTACCTACTAAGATGGCTTTTATCAAAAAACAAACATAAGTGTTGGCGAAGATGTTGAAAACTTGTGGAAATGTAAAATGGTCCAGCCTCTGTGGAAAATAATATGGAGGTTCCTCAAAAAATGAAGTAGAACTACCATAGGATCCAAGATTCTCATTAGTGGGTGTTTATCCCAAATAAATGAAATGAGGATCTCAAAGAACTATTTATACTTCCATGTTCATTGCAACATCATGATATTGCAAGCTAAGATATGGAACAACCTAAATGTCCATCAATGGATAAATGGAGAAATAAACTGTGACACTTCCAGACAATAGAATACTATTCAGCACTAAAAAGAATACGCTATCAAGCCACAAAAAGAGGAAGAGGAAATTTAAATGCATATTACTAAGTGAAAAAAGCCAGTCAGAAAAGGCTACATGCTGTATGAGTCCAAATCTGACATTTTGGAAAAGGCAAACTATGGGGACAGTAAAAAGATCAGTAGTTGCCAGAGGCTGAGGGATGGGGCGCGGTGAACAGGAGGCTCTTGAGATTTTTAGGGTGGCGCAGATACTCTGTACAATACCTATAGAATGTGCAACAGCAAGAGTGGACGCTGGTGCAAACTGTGGACTTGGGGTGATAATGATGTGTCAATGTAGGTTCATCAGTTGTAACATGTACCACTGTGGAGTGGATGTTGATATTGGGGGAGGCTGTGCATGTATGAGGGGAGGAGGTATTTGGGAAACCTCTGTATCTTACCCTCAGTTTTGCTGTGAACCCAAAACTGCTCTGAAAAATTAAAGGATTAATTTTTTAAAAAGCAGGAGGGCTGATTTAGATGAGAAGAGAACTAACAAAATTTAGATAGAAAGTATAAGGGTATTCATTAGGCTATTCTCTAAGCTTTTCTGTAAGTTTGCAATTTTTTGTAATAAAAAGTTTTACAATTCCCCTACATTAGCTAAAAAACTTATATATATAATTTTAGCTCAGGCCTCTCTTCAAAGTTCTGACTCATGAATCCCTCCTTCCGCCTCACTTCGGTTGGTGGCATTACCACATACTTAACTGAACAATGAAGCAGTTGGACAAGGACTTCCTTATCTTTCCTCTATTAAATTTGCCAACAGGAATACATGTGTACTCATATCCTCTGCCTTTACTCCTTGTAGCACTTTGGACTATTGTTCGAAATACAGTAATTCTATGGGGAGAATTATACTTCTCCACTCCTTTCATGTGAACCTGGGGGGTGACACTTGCACTGTCTCTTCCTTCAGGAGAATTATACATCCCTGCCCTGGTAAATATGAGGCATGATGACCCAATTTCCAAATAAGGTCACACGGTGA